CATCGTTGAGTTACATGAGAAATAGTAAGGCGAGATCCTTAATTTCAGCTGGCATTGGTCCACTTGAGGCTTGAAAACAAGTATGAGTTAGCTAGTGGCATTTGCAGAACAGGCTTATTACATTGGTGGTGATCACCCTCCGCAGTTTTCTGCAAGGGATACGGACACACCCCACCCAGGCTATGAACGCTACCAGTAGGGTCCAAGGGAATGAGGATGTGGCAAGCTATTGCTATCATGTACCCCTCATTTGGAATGATCTGTACGGCTGACACAGCGCCAGGTAGTGAGTGATTGTACTTGGCCAGACAGGGGTACTGGCGAATTAACAGGCCACAATAGATCCTGTCAATGACTATAGGTAGGTATAATCCCATTAAACATCGCCATTTCCTGTTTTCAGCACAGGTCATGGGTAGCGGTAGTACGCAAGGATGCTTAAGCCTAGAAGAGGAGTAGGCAGTAAGTGGCTACGTTATGCGAGATGAGATGCTACTCTACTTTGAATGTGATCATTTAGTGCAACTATTCCTATTACAAGTGGCATGGCGCGGGGCGTGATGCGATTTCTGAAGACTCTTGTCTTTGTTACAGTTCTTCAGAAGCATTATATAGGATAGCAATAGATGAGCTTTTGTTGAAGGGAGACTTTATATGTAGCAAAGATATAGCTTAGGAACTGAGCCCTCGATAGCTAAGATCACTCGACCAAAACGTTTACCACTGAATCCAATGGTTCAGGAGGATCTAGATCATCTTGAGGAAGAGCCAATTGACCAACTAGGCTGTTCTAGCCGACACTGTTCTGGACTGCGCCGAGACACATGTTCTGCATTGACTTTTGTCCTCTGTAGAAGACTCATTGGCGAGACCCTTGAAGGCTAATCACGCTACCAATTCTATATTCGGTTTCCAATACGTACTTACCCAGATCAATTGGAAGAATGACTACCATCAAGTCAGCTGGGCTACAAGCCATGACCCAAACAGGACAGGTTCTTGGACAAGAAAACTATATAAGCCTCTATAAGCCCCTATGTCTCTACCATCTATTTCTCATCGCAACAACATCTCTCTCTCTCTTATCATCTTCGGATAGAAATACTACACCCCGTTTCTTCTTAGGTTTCCAAAGAACTCATCTACCACAATGAAGTTCGTGCATACCATTGCCCTTATTGCTACCTTCACCGTCGCCAGCGCTACGCCGACTGGTGGTACTCCATCCCAATGCACTACCGCGCAAGCTAACAAATGCTGCACTGGCCTGACCAACGGCATTTTGAACCTGAATGTCCTCCCCGCTCTTTGTCTCCGTAAGGGATTACCCTGCCTTGGTAGTCTGTGTTTTCACTAATAGCATGTCAGCTCTCGTTGGAAGTTGCAACAACCAGGCAGCCTGCTGCGAGACCAATGGCATTGTAAGTTTCTGGCTGGAGATATTTAGCGGCAAATACTCATGAACTTATCACAGGGCCTTTTGAACTGCCTCACTGTTCAGGTTTAGATGAGCAGACGTTTGGATATGCGACGATGTACCAACTTGGGTACAGTTATTGAGATAAGGCTTGCACCGACGTACTGGATTTCTTGCTTTTTATGTTCTATTGTTATTTTCCTCGTGCTTTGGAGGACATGAACACGATGCGTGACTTGTACGGACACACTCATTTAGTACGAGCATAAACCCAAACCACAATGCAATGTCTAAGTGGATGTTAGCTGTATTGAAAGTGCACCAGTAGTAGAGGGTTAAGCATAGCCGTCCTGAATATATGCACCCCAGATAGCTGTTGGTACATGTTGGCACGCCAAGATACAAAACCTTGCCAAGTATCTTTTGACCACCAGGTCCCTCATTTGGTTTAGGCTGCTCTTGTTCACTATCGCGTTCCTACTTTAGTATTTAGCCTGTTTATCCTCGTACTGGATATTGATCTCGCAGCAGAGGTGCTCGCTAAGGCTGCGTGAACTTTGGCAACAGAAAATATATACTACACGTGTGTTTCGCAAGGTGCCATGTGGAATTAACATATGTTAAGCCCATTTCAGTATGAGTATTCTTTATGGCTGCTGAGTCATTTCATTGAGTTTACATTTCATTGGGTGAGCCAAGCATGCATGTTATTGAACTCCGCTGCTGCACATGAAAAACGACTCGGGAACTTTTCAGTTACTCTCAGACTCAAACCAATCCAGAGGGGATTCCATGAGACATACGCCAGGACTGCTCACTCCATCCACAGAAATGGCAGTACGGGAAATACAGGGTTATCTTCAGGGCCCGATGGCTAAATGCCAGCGATGGCTGACCAGAAGAGACAAAAGTAGTAACAACAGTGCACTGGAAAACGGTGTCAAAGATAGCCGTTTTTTGGCCGAGTTGCTGACCATAATATCATTCTCTGGAGTAAATACTCAGGATCGAATTGGTATATCTACAGCAGAGAACTCGCCAGAACTCGGCTGACCAATTTATATGATCTGAAATCTCTCTTTTTCTTTTAATAGAAATATCATATATATATCGAGATTTAAGAAATTGATTAAGTATCCTTGTTACCACTGTAACCACCACCACTCCGCTAAACCTTCTTGAATCTACTTGCTCGTTCACCAGCCTGGACGTCTTTCCTGGCACCTGGGTTGGCAGCTTCGATGGTAGCAAATATATCAAACTCAACATATCAATACAACCAACTCTGTCCGTATACTCTTAGTCTCTATAGAACCTGTTATATCTCTCTTCAGTCCTCGCTATCCCCTTGTCTAAAGTATCTCGTCTTCTATCTTGGTCCTAAAACCCCAAAGTATTGATCCAGTGGACTAGCTAACGAAAGCACTGACCATCAACTGGGGTTATTTTTTAGTTTAATTTATTTTACATTCCTTCATTTCCTTTACAAAAAGAGCGGTGACGAAGAAGAACGATTCGTCAGCACAATCAAGATTTGCCACGGTCAGACGGAGGTAGTGGCTGTCGGTGCTCAGATCAACAAAGCAACGCGGGCGAGACCCGGAACTAAGTCCCAAAACAGCAAGGAAGACCAAAGCGACTGGACGTAGGAAGTTTCCCTGGAACACCCGGCACGTTTGTGTATGTATGTATGTATGTATGTATGGAATGCAGAAAGCGCTGGAGAAACTTAGGACGGACTAATCTCCACTTGCCCTAACCTCCCGGCTACGGGTACTGTACATGAACTATCGGCAGGGATTAAGTACTCCGTACGCCTTGGGAAAGAGAACATGATGAAGATAGGGGCTGTGAGATTGGTATTCACTGTTTTCTTTTATTGTATTTTCTCTTGCAAGGTTTTCTTTCAATATTGGGCATGATACGCACGACCACTCCCCATGTGTTTCAGTCATGAGCAATAGGGGAAATGAGTCAGAGCGGTAAGAAACAATGGACTGTGGCATAGTCTATACCTCCATTAAAATTGTGTGTTATTTTCTCTGGCCTATCATAAAGCAATATTGTCACAGTGTATGCGGGGACACTGCAGAGATCGTCGGGGGTTGAATATAACGCGCGTGTCGATTGGTACCTTCATTTCCCAAGGAGTGTGATGGAGGGTGGGCGATGGAAAAAATTTTCGATGCACGAGGGACCGGGGTGGTGTCCAAGGATTGAGACATTAAATCGTGTAGGGAGCCGTGGAAGCAGTAAATGGTTATCGAGGAAGATTGGCGATTCATCTTTCAACAGAAAAATAAATAAAAATTAGGTTCGATATAACCGTGCCGGGTGTGCGACGCTGGATCAGAAGTAAGCAGGAAGCAGTACCACTTGACTAGTTTCACAAATCCGTCCACTGAATAAACAATCATCATTGCTTTCCTGCATGGATCTGATGCTGTGGACGTAATCCTACATCAGAGGGGATTTGAAATGCTCGACGCTAAGGACACCTTTCTGACTTTCTTAGGCGATGGGTGCCTGCCTGCCTGTCTTGGCTGCATATCGCCTGCATCGCTCGTCACAGAAGAAAACCCAATGGAGGGACTGAGTCAGTCTGATGTTCGAGGAAAAACAAGAAAAAGACTCATTTTGATTTCACCAACGGTCGTCCGGTTACGTTATGGTATAACTTCTGAGCAGTTGAACAGCGTCTAGTTGCTTGAAGAAAGGGTGCCGTGGAAGTGACACAGCTGACCGGCCGAATACCCTAACTTTCTACCCAACTTCCGAGCTGTTTCCAGGCAGATGGAGGTAGCCTATTATTGTCTCCGTATTTTTATCTTCATGTTTCCAATCGCCTTGGATCTCGCATAGCCACCTTCCTGGGGCTGAGGATCCCCTCCAATACAAGACCATTCTTTCGAGTCTTTCACCGTGAGAAAAAGGCGAGGGCGTGACAGCAGCCTCACTATTGGCAATGCCCGGGTGTTTCTGCGCCCTGTTGACCTCGTGTTGCTGGGCGCTATCTGAAGAAGAAGGAAAGAAATAAAAAATACAGGCACTGGTGCTCGGTGCTCTTGTGAGATCTGGACTTTTGTGTGTAATGGAGGGTAAGTCCGCCAATGATGGGGAAGAGAAATGCTAGCCTTATTCCGGGTGAAATCAGCCTGGGGCCTGGTTGAGGTCGGGGATTTTCCCTGCCGTCGAACGTGCAGTCATCAAAAGCTAAAGATGACCAGGCAGAAGTACAGTACATTACAAGGATCTTCCACGGTCTGAAACACTGCCATATTATGTTTGTCCTGAACCTGCCGATACCTGGACTTGAAAAAGCCGACTTACCCCTCCTGGGTAGGTCGAGATAGGAGAAAGATATTACTATAATATGCTTTGACCCTCGACTTTTGTTCGAAGACTTTCTCTCCCTCGGTTTCGTTCTTGTTTAGTAGTCTTTCTGCAATATACCCCCTGTCCGATTTGTCTTGTTGATCCTGTTTGGTGTCTTGCGATTGTTTGTCGAGTCTACGCACGGCTTACTACATCTGGCCTTACTCATTATTTATCTGTCCCTGCTACAGGCGGAGTCCCCCGGGAGATGGCGGTCATTAACCAGAAAACCACGCCGCCGGTGCCTCCCGCCCACCATGCACCGGCTCAACAACCCGTGAATCCAGCCCTCTATCCAGCTGTTTACCAAGGACTCCCAGCAGGACTCTACCACCCGTCGGCCTATCCGGGGGCTTACCCATTCGCTCACTCAGCACCGCGCCAAGCTTCCTATCCAACAACTCACCCAGGACCTCACTCAGCAGCCCCCCAGGCGTCTCATCCGGCAGGCCATCCGGTTATTCACCCTGCAGGCCATCCCGGAGGCCATCCTGGAGTCCACCATGGAGGTCACCAAGTGGGACATCATGGAGGCCAACAAGAAGGATACTCGGGGGCCTCTCGCGCGACCCATACTGCCACCCCGCGCTCTGTAGATCCCGCCAAGGTCGCTGAAGCAATGGCCCGCCTGAATGTCAATACGGAGAGAGCAGCCTCAGGAAATCGGCAGAAAGTGTCGGACTCTAGCTCGGGAAAGGAGCCCACCGCGGCAAAAGTAGCAGACTCACGCCCCTACTTTTATATTGGGTATACCTTCTTCAAGAAAGATGCGACCCCTGGCCACAAGCCACATGGGGCCAGGTGGAAAAGAGCCAGATGCATCTGACGCAAGCGGAGTTGATCGGCATGGTCCAGAAACGGGCAAAGAAGCTCCCCGGCGTCCAACAGTACCAGTCACTTTCAAAAGCAAAGCGTACCCATGTGGATCAACTCATCAACGAGCTCAAGAAGGAGGATTCTCTCCTGGAATGGACTTGTGCATATGTCAAGGAAGAAGAACGACAGATGAAAGGCAAGAATAGTAAGCGTGGAGACTATGAGACTGTTTCCATGGACGTTGTGATCATGGGGAAGCCTATTACCTCTTCGCGTCCCAAGGTGGCGCAAGTGGAGTTCGATTTGCCTAACAAGTCTAAGGAGAGGGTTGAACCGAAGGCCGAAAATCCCGTAGTCATCGATGAATCTCGGCCATTGGACACGGCGATTGAAAATGTCCATCAGTGGACACGGTCTAATATGGGTCATGCACAACAGCCCCCCATGGTGCAGGTGCAAAATGTTCCACGGCAGCTTAACCCTGAGTTCACTCAGCAGGCTCCACCACCGCCGCCTCCCCCTCCCCAGCCGCAGGTACAGCAAGCGGGAGGAAGACCATTGGTTAACCATGGAAATCTGCCACAAGGAGTCCCAGCTCATTTCTCTTTCGGGGTACACCCACAGGCAGCCATGCCCCACGTCGTGCGGGCCGCTCCAGAGAAGGGTCCCGCAATTGATGTCCTAAAGGAGCAAGCCAGAGGCATGGCGAGCGCTGGTGCACACCCGCACATGCCCCAGGTCGCGAGAGCTGTCCCAGAGAATTGCCCCACTGTCGAGGTGTTGAAGGAGCATGTTAGAGGAGTCCCTGTGGGAGCGCACCAGCGCCCACAGGTATCCATGCCCCACACCGCGAGGGCTGTTCCAGAGAATGGCCCAGCTATTGAGGTGCTAAAGGAGCATGTCAGAGGCGCTCCGAACGCTGGTGTACAACACGCAGGGATCAATAACTTGTACAACCCAGCCGGGGTGCCGGTAACCCATAACAACCCACGAAGAGAGCCTTCCTATCCCTATGAATCTCGTTCCTTTGAGAACGTCACCCAAGGAGGTAGTGTCAAACCACCAAACTTGGCGGAACCAGAGATAGAATTGGCTCCAGACTCCAGCAGCATTGGGGATGACGATTCAGAGATTTTCGACTTTGAAGACCTTAGCTCAGTTACAGATGACTCTGAACATGAGGGAGAGACACGTAAAGAAGCGCAGCCCTGGCGTGGAAGTCTCTTTCGCCGGCACTCCTCTACCTCAAGGCGCCCTGGGCCATCTCGATACCGCTCCCACTACCGGAAGCAACCCTCGGGTGCATCTGACAACAGACACGGTCGCACCAAGTACCTCAGTGACTATGTTGATGTGATCCCCGCCGACAGCAGGGATTCCGACAAGCAACTATGGAGGTCCATAGCCGAGAGGTTGCTCGGCAGACCCGAGATCGCCCGAAGATTATCCACGCCCCTGTTAGTTCCGAGGATTTGGATGCACCCGAGTTCGACGAAAGATATCGTGGGGGACGAGCTCGCAACGATATTCGCACCCGAATTCTCGATGATCGGGAAGCAAGAATTGAGCGCCGAGAGAAGCAGCTAGACTATCGGACTAGAATGCTGGATGTATTAGATGAGAGATTGGACGATGCCTTGCGCCGGCGCATGTCCCTGAGAGACGCTGGTCCGTATTACTCTCGACAGCATTATGAAAATTATTGATTTGAATTTTCTTTTCCTGCCACTTTTCGTTTCATGATTCCCCCCCTGTTTATGTTGCTGTTATCCTCGGGCCGCATTTTCTGTTAGTTTCTATTATTCTTTTCGGGTGCGAGTGGGCGGCGGATAGACACTAATAACGTCATTCACCGGGGACCCGTTTGTATACAACCAGTGTTGTCGAGATCTGTTGCGTTTAGAATACGTTTCGTGTATGTACTTTCTCCCAAAAAATAAAAAAACTGAATGAGTGATGAGTGTGAGATATGATCTGCACCATGACTGGGATAATTGCATAGTATGGATCCATACTGAGTAGTATGTTCGAGGACCAAGTCAGCAGTTGACAGCGCATTACATCCGGTGACGAGAACTTATCGATAAACCCCACTAATGCCGGCCTCAGGCAGTCAAAACCCCGCCATGGAGTGGGATTGATTTTGGTTCGCTTTTCTTCCCTTTTATGTCATCGCTCTTCCCTGTCGTCTGATCTTCTTCTACTCTTCCTTTTCATACTCAACTTGACAATCACACTGTCTATATTCAACCCAACTCGTCGTATCTTACTTTCGCATACACACACATTCAAAATGCCTCGCCAATTCTTCGTCGGTGGTAACTTCAAGATGTACGACATCACCCTCACTACCATCACAGCTGCCCCGCAATGTCCCCTGATACCACAACAACCACGAGGAAGCTAACGGATGCCCTTTTTCTCTCTTGCAATACAGGAACGGTACTGCGGAAAGCATTACCGCCATCATCAAGAACCTCAATGATGCCAAGCTCGACCAGACCACCGAGGTTGTCGTCTCCCCTCCTGCTCTCTACCTGACCCTCGCCAAGCAGGTCGCCGATGAGAAGAAGGTTGCTGTTTCCTCCCAGAACGTCTTCGACAAGCCCAACGGTGCTTTCACCGGTGAGATCTCGGTTGCCCAGCTGCAGGATGCCAAGATCCCCTGGGCCATCATTGGACACAGCGAGCGCCGTGTCATCCTGAAGGAGACCGATGAGGTATGTTTGTTTTTCACCCTGCAGCATGTCTGTCAGCAATTGGGTGGCTAATTGTCTTTAGTTCATTGCTCGTAAGGTTAAGGCTTCCATTGAGGGTAACATTAGCGTCATTTTCTGCATCGGTGAGACTCTTGAGGTATGGCTCACATGTCCACTCTCCGCGGTCGACCTTCCCTATTGGGAAAATTTGCATGATCTGGTTTGATTAATATATTGTAGGAGCGTGAGGCCAACAAGACCATTGAGATCGTCACCAAGCAGCTCAACGCTGCCGCCAAGGAGCTCACCAAGGAGCAGTGGAAGAAGGTCGTCATTGCCTACGAGCCCGTCTGGTCAGTGCCTTATTCCTTGATATCACATCACCCTAGACTGTGATGCTAACAGTGCAACAGGGCTATCGGTACCGGCAAGGTCGCTACCACCCAGCAGGCCCAGGAGGTCCACGCCGCCATCCGCAAGTGGCTCGCCGAGGCCATCTCGCCCGAGGCCTCCGAGAACACCCGTATCATCTACGGTGGCTCCGTCAGCGAGAAGAACTGCCGCGAGCTGGCCAAGGAGGCCGATGTAGATGGCTTCCTGGTTGGCGGTGCCAGCTTGAAGCCTGCTTGTACGTTCCTTTCGTCCCCGGTTCTGCGTATTGGCAAGCTGCTAACGTTCAAAAACAGTCGTTGATATCATCAATGCTCGTTTGTAAGCGACTTGAGGGTGCTAATATAGGCTATAATCACTTTCTGGTTCTTTCACTGATAAATTTATGACGGTTTCGAAAATAGTTCTATGAGTCAAATATCAAAATCAATATAGAAGTTTTCACACGAAAATATATCCGACAGTTCATCTATCCCGCTCTAGTTAACACTAATTATATACATTTGTGCCAAAAACAGGGTTACCTATACAACGGACCCAACGCCCATTATCTAAGAAACCAAACAGTTGAATATAAATTAAGAAGAATAAAGTACCGAAACACCCACGCCCCTCCAATACGACGGCACACCCCCACCGCCACTGCTCTGCCCCGATCCAGCCGCAGCAGTCGCCCACGAAGAAGACGAGAACGAACTCGGCCCCAATCCCACCCCAGCACTCACCAGCAGTTCCTTCACGCGCCCCTCCCAGAGGACCCGTACATTCCACGACTGATCGACCCGAATCTTCAGAACAGAGTCCGTCGCCTCCTCCTCTTCCTGCCTCTTCTTAGGCTCAGCAGGCAAAGAAGGCAAAGACAGAGGCTCCGGAGCGCGCATTTTCCGTCTCGCCCATTCCAACCCATCACCTTCATCACGCTTCCTCGATTTCCGCCACAGTTCACAACCAGCCACCATCTCACTCTCCCAGCTGTAAACATTGAACCCGAAACGCGAGCTAAACGCCAGATTAGGCGACGCACGGAGCGAATACGTCGTCGACAGGGAACCAGTTAGCGGTGTCAGGGTTAAGGTAAGCGTATACGGGAATGTAGAGATGGGAGTATTCTGGTTCGCCGTCGCCGACCCCGTAGCCGCTGACGCAGGTACATCCGTCGCAGCGGGGAGGGTGCTAAACCTCAGACCAGTGGACATGCCAATGAGCGACGACACAGGCGAGTAATATGCCTCCGCACCAGCTGATAGAAGCGAGAGGCGCGACGCGGTGGTCTCTGTCGCGAACCTGGGGTCGGGTCCGAAGTTCCATAGCCCTCGCCAGCCGAATAGCGCATTATCTGTGCTGAAGAGGTACTCGTTGCTGTATTTGCCTGTGTCGTGTGACAATTGCGTGAGGAGGGATGCCTGTGGCGCGGACTTGGAGAGCGGGGGGCCTCTCGTCGAGCAGACCGCTAGTGTTAGTTGCATAGTTGGGGAGATGCGACGCAGGAAAAGGGCGTTTAGGGTTGTTGGCGGCGGGAGGTGCAGTGTTGCGTGCAGGAGAGTGGGCTTGCTGGCGAACGACGGCTGGACATTTTGGGGGTTGTCGAGGATTGAGGTCCAGTTCCAGTCTTCGATTGGGGCAATTGGGGGCGTTACTTGGCGGTAGCCTGGGGATAGTTTGCGAAGGGGGATCAAGGCACTTCGGCTTGGTGTGTTGGTGAATGGGACGGTGCTGTAGAGGTAAGAGACTGAGCCGTCGATTAGGCCTACTGTGCCGAGGGTGTAGCTGGTTGCGAAATTGGGGGTGGATAGCGAGGAGAGATGCACGCGCAGACGCTCGGGGGTTGAGAAATCCAGGAGGGCTGCGACATCGTTAGTGAGGAGGATCTTTTTTAAAGAGTAAGAGAGAAGACATTGGTACATACACTGGGCTGTGGCCGTCAGCGACGAGTATGAATTGTCACGGTTCCAGTTAGTCCCCTCGGCGAACGCGAGTTGGATATATTCCATGAAGTCGAGCATTGTCGGCCAATGAGAGTAGTTGGTATAGTATTGTCAAGAGAGAATCAAGCCCGGAACCCCCAGCTAGATCATCATGGACTAAGTTGAGAACATGCCAACGGTGTAACCGAGAGTGAGTGGTATGTCAGTCGGCGGAGGCATTCACAGCTTATTTCCCCATGCAGTTTAGATCTAATCGGATAAGCCCCGCATCAACAATATTCCGACTGTTATCAGTGAAGAAAAAAATAATTGATTTTCGAACTCCTCCAAGTCGACCCATTTCCGCGCTTGTATATAACCCATTTTCCCCCTCCACTGGGTCCAAGATCGCAGGACTGTCAATAAAATTTCAACCGGGTTTTCGAATTTTCCACTCACAAGTCCGCCACAATGCCTCGCTCCAAGCGTGCCCGCGTCGTCCACGAGACCAAGACCGCCAAAAAGTCCCACAAGGAACAGACCAGACGCCTGTACGCCAACATCCGTGAATGTGTCGAGAACTACAACCATCTTTTCGTCTTCGGAGTTGATAACATGCGCAATACCTACCTGAAGGATGTGCGCACTGAGTTCGCCGACAGCCGGTGAGTTTGACTTTCCCACTTTTTTTCACCTTGCGGGGGATTGTCCTCATTTTGATATTGAACCTTTTTTGCCCATGGAGACGGGGAATTGGATTAAATATCAATATATGAAGATTTCAACGATCGATAGCTAACATCCAAGCAGTCTCTTCTTCGGCAAGACCAAAGTCATGGCCGTGGCACTGGGCCACAACCCCGAATCCGAAGCAGCCACCAACCTGCACAAGCTCGTCCCTTATCTGACCGGTGCCGTCGGTCTCCTCTTCACCTCTCGCGACCCCGAGTCTGTCACCAACTACTTCGACTCCTTCCGTCCCCTGGACTTTGCCCGTGCCGGCACCGTCAGCACCCGGTCTTTCAGTATCCCCAACGGCCTTGTGTACTCGCGAGCCGGCGAGATCCCCGCCTCGGAGGACGAGCCAGTCAGCCACACGATCGAGCCCGAGTGCGCAAGCTTGGCGTTCCCACTCGTCTCGTCAAGGGCAAGGTTATGCTCGAGTTGACCGGTGGCCAGGAGGCATTCCCCGTTTGCCGGGAGGGAGAGGTTCTCGACTCGCGGCAGACGACGCTGCTCAAGATGTTCGGCGTTGCTACTTCTGAGTTCCATGTTGCGCTCAAGGCTCGCTGGGCCCGGGAAAGTGGAGAGGTGACGATTCTAGAGAAGGACCAGAGTGGTATGGAGATTGAGCAGTGAGGTGGGAAAAATTATGGGTTATAGAAAAAAAAGTCTGTCTGATTCTTTTTTTTGTCTTCTCTTCTTCGACGAAATCCCCTGGGCATTTCTTGGAGTTAGGTATTGGCGCTTGCTTTACTACTGCTTTCTTTTTTCTTTCTCTTGTTATGAGTGGTTCCCGTGTACGACGGGTTATTCATTGCTGGATGAGCGTATGATGGACATACATAAATACCAAGCTAAAATCCTACTATAAATAAACCTACGGTGACTATATATCGGGATGTTACATGAGCATAAAGTAGGACTATTCCGACCATTACCTTGATTTACACTGTACGAAGATACCTGGCATCGGTTATTTGTTGTTGCAGAAACCTTACCTGATCTTCTTACCTGACCCCCGTAACACCTCCATGAATCCACCTAAGCAGTTGACTACCTAAAGTACATACTTACCCCGTAAAGAGCAGTGCAAACCCTGGGGAAGAAATTGACAGGGTAGAAGGACATGCAAGCAAGCAGAAGAAAAATTCGATAAGGAAAACAGTAAGAAAGGGGTCGCGACCAAGCGTGCGGTTCCAGTAGACGTCGACTCTCCGGGAAGGAAACGGCCATTCCAAGGATCTAATCATGATGAGATCCCAGCGGTGTATATAGATACCTCGGTTCCGGCTTAAGATGAGGATGCATAATGTTTCGACTGTTGTAAGTAATGGTCAAGCCTGAAGGCAGGAGACCTGAATGATCGGCGTGGACCTTGCCTTACCCATTGCCAAAACAGACGATGAGAGAAACTGGAAGATCGATCAGAAATACCCACCAGCAAACCATGGTTGTCTACTAAATGGGAAAAATCCTTCGCAAGGTAGGTATTCAGTATCTTCTCTTGGCGCGAGGGTCATCGTATGCATCATCCTCATGATATCGCTTGCGTCCGTAGTCCTCCCGGCCTCCGTAACGGTCACCACCACGGTCACCACGGTCACCCCGCTCGCGCTCGCGGTCACGGTCCCGGTAACGGTAGCTGTCCCTGTCGCGGTCCCGATGACGGTCACCACCATCGCGGTCCCGGTCATCCCTTCGATCGCGCTCGGAGAAGCCATCTCTTGGCCTTATCGGTTCACGGTTGCTTCCGGTTGCGCCCCGATCACGATCACCAAACCTGCCGCCAAAACCACCGCTTCTTCCACCGCCGGGGCCAGATGGTGCGTTTGGCGGAGCTTGTCCGCCTCCGCCGAACCCATTGCGGCCTCCTTGGTATCCGACACCACCACGAGGACCCCCGAAGCGTTCGTTGCGGAAGCCCCCCCTTCCTCTACCACCACCAAAGCCACCACGGAAGCCACCGCCGTAGCCTCCAGGTCCAGAGGGAGCACCGAATGACCCGGGGCCGATAGGGCGCGAGGGCAGGGCTTTGGTGTAACCACGGCCGCCAAGACCTCCGCCGAAGCGCCGAGGCTTCCAGCCCTTGACAGTGCGACCACGTTCTACATCAACCAAGACACGTCGGTCTTTGATACGAATGCCATCCGTCTCTTTGTAGGCGGCTGGAACAATCAGAAGCATATCATGTCAGCAAAACGCTCTCAAGACGCAGATACCTGTGGCCAATAAAGGTGTTGATCATTTGCAGTAATACCTTTCATGTCCTTCTCGCGCTCGTAAACGATAAAAGCGTACCCCTTGTGCGGCTTCTTCGAACCCTTCGGGGTTACAGTGTCTTTGACGATACGGATCTGGATAGAGTCAATGACATCAGTATAAGAGAAACAAAAAGAAAAGCAATAGACAGGGTTGTAATAGGATTACCCTCTCAATAGGTCCGAATCGGCCGAACTCTCTTTCAAGATCGGACTCCTTGACATCGTAACTAAGACGGGAAACAAAAAGTGTTTTGAAGGGGTCGCCTCGAGCTTGCGGGTCGTTCGCAGGGTCGACTAGAGGGGTTAGTATCCATGCGCTCAGATGTCTCTACAGAGTTAATGGAAATAACACACATGTATGAATGCCGTCCGTCAAATGTTTCTCGATGTTTTCCTTTTTCTCCTGCTTCTGTCGCAATTTGCGCTGGATCCAACTCTCTGTAGCATTGTAGGGGTACTCCTCTTCATACTCCTTCAAGTCGGGGAGAAACTGTGCGACACCACCGAGTGTACTCTTCTTACAGTCCTCTGGTGCACGGTCAATGGGAGTAACATAGCGCAAGGGTGGACGAGGCTGAAAGAGGGCGAGGAGCGGAGGGGGGAGCTTGTCCGTCATCTTTGTACCCTCAGTCAGTTAGTAGTAAAACACAGTGTGACAAAATGAGGGTCTAATTCCCATGCGCAATGGGCACAAGCAATGATGAGCGTTGGAATTATTCTGAGACAATACCGCAGGTCTCGTTTGTCAGGTTCGCGTTGCTCCGTGACTTGGCAGCTCACTTGCAGTTCTGGAAGCCGCTAGGCGCGTTAGGCGGGATAGCCGCGGGCCAATGACAGCCATGCCCGGAGTTGCTGAAAAGTGAACTATCGCTCCGTGGACCGGTTCTCGACTTGCTGTATCAATCAAATACAGAATTGCAGAAATGCCTGTACAAGGAATTAGAGCAGTTACCACTGCCAGGGTATGCATAGATTCTCCAAAGCTGGGTCCGTGGTACCCCAATAGCTAATTGTTCGCAGAACGGCGTGGGTGCCTTTATTTTGCAATGCAAGCGTTTGGACTTTCACTACTGCGACTGGGCTGGCAGTTCCCGCGGAATGGTGTATGTACTTTCCGTACAAAGTGGTAGTTGGTTATTGATGCTAATGGTGGTCTTAAACCAGAGCTTTCTTGAAGAACACTCTTCCCTCCTTCGCCAAAGCCAACCCTCAGATTGAAATCCGCGTATCGCCACGACCACACAAGCACCCCGTAATCAAGGGCCACTATATCAACGGGCGTGAGAAGGCCGTCTGTGTTCGCAATCTTGAGCCCGAACAGATCTTTCAGAAGGCGAACCTGCTGAAGGAGGCCAGCGGCGAGAAATTGAAGCGTACCAAGAAGCCCGTCACAAGTATCAACGAGAGTGTCAGAGGCATCTGGTCCCCGTATCACGGAGACGTCAAGACTGTCTAAAGCGGTGTTTTTGGGTTTACTGCGACGGTGTTATGTTCTGGATTGCGACGCTTCCAGCTTGTCATATTCATACAATGTATTATGGGCCTATTTGTTTTATTCGGGGAAACCAATGCTTTTATGTTCGAAGAGTATGTAGCATATGTATGTATAAAATGCATTGATCTTAAAGATTTTTTCAGGTTAAGAGGACTCGCAACCTATTCAGACCATTGCGAACTAACCAAAAATGTACTCAGGGTTCCGTAGCTAGTAGTAACCAGATCTACTAGCAATCCATTCCATCCAATCAACCATCAATGCAATAAGGGTATCGAAGTAGTAAACCAGACAAAGTAACCGCCCGCCTAACACCGGAATCATGCAAACTCTGTATAAAACATGGGGAGGAGAGAATATATGTATCATAAATAGATCTGGAACATCGATTTTGGTGCACTGACAGACTTCTCACAATCCACCACTTGACACTTAGAAAACGGCTTTACAGGCAGCGATGCCTTCTTAGCGTTTGATTTGGACCTGTGGGTAGCACACTGCCCGCAATAAACCTGGATAAGGTGTCAGAGCCTGTTCGCACAAAGGGCATCATGGGGATACGAACATGTCCGCATTGTTTCACCACCCAAATCTGTTGTTGAACTTCATCACCTGTCCCGAGCTCTGCATCACAATTCGGACAACAAACGACCTCGTCTTCTTTGACGTTCCTTGTAAAACCCTCCGGCGGCGGGCTAGGTGGCTTGTACGTTGGCCGTGACACTCGATCAGGTGAAAATCCTGGGATCTGGTAATCCATTGCTAGCGGACCATCCATATCCAAGTTGATCGTTAGATCAACTGCTCCGCCCGGTCTATCTCCGATCCAAAATGTCTCCACATCATGTGGCGGGCGGCGGAGGCCTCTCGTTCTCCATCCAGGATCCCTAGAAAATAACCCTCTGCCAGGAAAGTGCTGAACCCTGGGGTCGTCTAACCGTAGGAACCGTACAAGCCCGGTGCCGAAATCAAAGCCTCTGGGCTGTGGCGGCGAAGGTCGAGGTAACTGGGGTCGAACGCTGGCGCCCACGAATTGAACTTCTGGACTGCTAGGAATGTCGAGATCAATCGTATTATCCGGTTCATCTTCTAGGTCCACAACATCTGCCATGATATCCCTTCCGAAGCGGGGTTGTCTAGGTCGCCGCGAGGTTGCCCGAGCACTCCTATCTCGCTGCTGTGGAGGCGAGTCCGGTTCATTTGTCAAATCGATCACTTCATCTGTCTGGGGGGAAGCCGAAACGACTGGCCTCCTCAAATCGAGACCGTCCCCAGCGTATCGCATGGGTGGCAACTGGTTGGGCGGAGCTCTGGAGGACGATGGCTCCCCATTTTGTGAAAAGAAACGGCGACTGGGTGAATGAGATGTTTGGGACATTTGTCGGTGATTACGCTGTAGTTTCATGATAATCGTCAGCAAGCTCCCCTCTCTCAATATTGGCACAATGGATGCCCCGCCTCTTGAAGGCAACGGAAAGATATGGGGCGAACCTTTCTCGGCCTTGCAGCCACAAACTGCACACCTGAGTCGTCGTTCATGTCAAATTGCTTGGGCTGAAGTCCAGCAGGGGTCAGAACCGAATGGCTGGAAAGTATGAAGAGGAAGGGGGTGAGAGAGGCGTGAGAGTCGAAATCGAAGGAGCGATACAGCTGGCGGAAGAGTTCCTAATCGTCCAATGTAATAAGTCCGGAACCGAGTCCTTGCGGTGGAGAGATGACATGATATGCCGCCCTCTTCAATAGTTGGCCACCGGTAGATCAGTACCCGATAAGATAAGTAAAAGGGCAAGAAGGGAGGAAATACGAAAAAAAAGAGAGTTGAACCCCCCCATGTCACCAGATCTACTCCTAAATTAGATCCCGATCACCGGCTGAAACGACCTATTATTAATGTGACGGTTTCCGCCAACATGTTCTGGTATGTGTTAATTTCAACACCGGGTAACAGCAGTACATGCAAGACAGTAATCTATTGTCTTTTATTCTTTCAGTTCTTCTCTCTCCCAACTGTGAAGTTCAGGTGAAAAACAGCATCCATAATTTCAAGAACTAAAAGTACAAACTCAATGCTTTGCTTTTCTCTGAAAGGTATCATTATTACTGGGCCCCCAATACTGTGATTCCACCGTCACGGTTCAAAGCCACAATGCTTTGAGCTGCAACTCCCCACGCCACGGCAGCTGCAGGCACAGCGCTTCGCAGCGGCTCTGACCATGACTTAGTTGACTTGGTGTACTGCTGGACGGTCAACCCGCTAGGTCCGCCAGTGAGTAGGAATTGTCCGGTGTAATCCCAGTTGATAGAATCAATCTGGCTGCCGGTTTCCAGAGCTTTGACTTCTGATGCACTGCGCAGATCCCAAATAGAAACAACTGTAGAACTCTCGGCGACTGCGGCCATGAATGTGCCGTTTTCAGAGAAGAACAAGCACTTGACAGGTCCAGACAGAGTGAAATTAGCGGCAGACGAGCCGTTCTTCACATCGAAAATCTTGATCTGCCCATCGACGCCACCGGCAGCAATAAGATGGCCATCGGGATGGAATTTCACGGAAAGAAGAGCTAAAGATGAAAATTAATATTCGTCCAGTACTGGGATTGGCGGGGTTTCACTCACATGCGTCACTGAAGATCTGCGTAATCACGGAGTTGGTCGTCAAGTCGTAAAGCACATAGCTCTTGTCTGCGCCAACGGAAGCGACAATGTCGCCAGTAGGGTGCAGGGCGAGCGCCGTGGCTGCACCGGCATGAGAGCTGAATTCAGCAACTTCATTGCCGTTCTCGAAAACCTTCACTGAGCCGGTAGACGAAGCAACGACGGCCTTATCACCTGCCCAGACAGCGTCGGTAACTGGGCCATTTGCTTGCAAGCTTTGTACGACTTGCTTCTGAGACAGCGAGTAAACACCAACAGCGCCGTCGGCGCCCCCAACAAGGGCAAGCTCCCCGGAAGCGTTGACAGACAGTGCCTTGCCACCGGGGTAGAGGGGCTCGGTGTTTTGAGCGGGCTTGTATGTGGAGATAGCATCGCTGGTTGCCCAGTCTTCCGGTATAGCGCGCTTACGGCGAGTCTTAGAGAGCCTATTTGCAATTAGTTACGGGGTCAGGATTCACAAACCACACTATTTGTACATACGCTGCTTGTGTACTCTCGACACGTGACAAAACCGCCTCAGGCAGTCCAGTTGAATCAACCTGCATAGCTTCACCGCCAGCAGCGCGTGTAGCGCCGACGGTCACCTTAGAGAGCGCATCACGGGCTTCATCCCGCTCTTTGGTCAAGCGCGCGATCACGCGGACCGCCGCATCGTTCTGGTAGAGAGCCGTACTCAGCTCCTGGCGCGTTTGCGCCAATGTCTGTCGCAGTGTGTATGTCTCCAGGGCAAGGGCGTCCCATTCCTCTTGGAACACGTTGAGTAGAGAAGGAATCGAGGTGAGTGTAGGGGGACGGGGTCGAACAACGTGCTGGGACTTGACCTCGATAAGGTCGTCGGTAGAGAGCTCCTCTCCGTTCACGGGATCTTTCCCATTTTCGGCGATGTATGCCTCGATGAGGCGCTTCTCAAAGACGCTACCTGAAGGACGTTAGATACGGTGCGGGTGCTGTTCGAGGTTGCAACATACCGCTCTTGGGCGAGACGACGGGCACTTGTGGTGCCTCTCCCGAGACTGTCATCAATTACCGTCAGTTTTCCATAGAAATGTAAAAATATATGATACTTGCTACTCACTTGCACACAGCATGGTATTTCTGGAAGATGGATGGATGTGAGGAGGGAGAGAGATGTTGCTCTTCACCACGACAGCTGCGGCTCCTTTGGACTTTTCGACGCTCCGCCTATCTTTTGGGTTTAGCCGCAGATCTCTTGGCGGCAAGCAACCATGCGCAAACGATCAAGTCCAAGTCCACCCTATTCCTCTTAATGCGTTATATTCATTTCTCCTATACACTTATTTATTCTTCCAGCTTTGCGACAGTGCCTGCTTAAGACGGCGATCGCAGCTACTAGAACAACCTATCATTGACGGAACTTGTCTGTCCCGTCCAAGCTTTCCTCTTCCATATTCCAGCGATAGCCGGAGGATATAAGAATTGAGGCACTACTCTGATTCTTTGCTTGAATATTATATGTCGCGGTAGCGATATATCCCTTGTTATTTTATCTGGCGGAGTCTAAACTAACAATTTGCTGTGGGGCTATTCAAACATGTCCTTCAAATCAAAGAATCTTGCATATGGTATGTTGGCTCCGTATCACCATTACACAGAGCCTGGACTGATACTCCAAAAATAGAGGCGAAAGAACCGGCATTCTTACAGCGACTTCGAAACCAATATGGAGACACCTCCGGTCGCCTTGAGCGCCCAATTGCTCGACCCCGAAAACTAAAAGATGCCGATGACGATGACGAACCTACCTATGTTGATGAAGAGAGCAACGAAGTGATATCAAAAGAGGAGTATGAAGCGCTCGTTCGCGAGAGTAATAAGGAAGGCGAGGACACGGGGAAAGGAGAACCAGACCCGGAACAAACCACATCCCAAGATAATGAACAGGATAAGGCAAGTACCACGCAAGAAGCGCCCATATCGAAACAGAATATGGCAGAGATAGGAGGGCCGAAGAAGCGAAAGCAGGCCAAGGTTATTGGCGAAGAAGAGCCTGCAGCAGAGAAAGAAGAAACACAGCCGAAAGACACTGGATCTCGGAAACCCAAGCAAAAGAAGAAAATCAAGCTCTCGTTTGACGAGGAATGATTAATACCCAGTCATAGTGTCTCGATTTGACTCATATTATGCGGCAAGGCCCTCTTTTAGTTCGGGCGCCAGTAGAATAGTCGTCATATTCCATAACAACCTGAAAATAATTAATAATCAATGAAAAATACTTTAGATGCACGCTTCCAGACACGGTTCTCTAATTATAGCCTCATAATAACCATAGGCGCAATATTTTGCGGTAATTCTCTGGTTGTTGAAAAGCTTTGGCTTTTCCGCCAATATTTTTTTTCCATTTTTGTCATAGAATTCAAATCTTCCGCAGTACGCGGGACACCAACTCGGACGTATTCTAACCACTTGGAGACCTTTGATCTGGTTTTTCGGATTCAGGTTGGTCACTGACACCAGCCTATTTCCAAAATGCCCGTCGTAAATGTCGAGGATCTGGTCCGTCTTCAACGGAAACCCGATGACATACGGAATGTACGTAGCCCCTCCATCATCCCACTTTGATGTCACGAGTTCCTTCATATCGGGATACCCATAGCTAACCACCATTGCAGATATGTATCTTAGCTCACGTTGTAAGTAGCTACGGCTGCTCAGCCCGACGAAAAGTTATTTGATATTAATTCTAGAAAACTTGCGTTGTTATAGGATCATGGCAAAACATCTCTAACCGATAGCCTTATCGCCACTAATGGCATCATCTCACCAAAGCTGGCGGGCAAGATCCGCTATCTGGATTCTCGTCCAGATGAACAGCTTCGAGGTATTACCATGGAGTCGTCGGCGATCTCTTTGTTCTTTTCGATGATGCGTCGTCCTGCTCCCGACGCTGCTCCGGTAGCCAAAGAGTACTTGATCAACCTTATCGACTCCCCGGGACATATCGACTTCAGCAGCGAGGTCTCAACAGCTTCTCGTCTGTGTGATGGGGCCATTGTCCTAGTCGATGCTGTAGAGGGTGTGTGCAGTCAGACAGTCACTGTACTGCGCCAGAGCTGGGTCGAGCAGTTGAAACCAATTCTGGTTATAAATAAGATCGACAGACTGGTTACTGAATTAAAGATGAGCCCCAGCGAGGCTTACTCGCATATGAGCAAGCTGTTGGAGCAGGTCAATGCAGTCATCGGTAGCTTCTACCAAGGTGAGCGAATGGAGGAAGATCTCCAGTGGCGAGAGCGCATGGAAGAACGCGCCAATGCGGCGGCCGAGAAAGATCGCACCAAGAAGCAAACGCACGATGATGAATCCACCAGTGCAGATGCTGCTGAATATGTAGAGCGAGATGATGAGGACCTTTACTTTGCCCCTGAGAAGAACAATGTCATCTTTTGCAGTGCTGTGGACGGGTGGGCCTTCACCATCCGCCAATTCGCCGCTATTTACGAAAAGAAGCTCGGGATCAAGCGTGCAATTCTTGAGAAAGTCCTTTGGGGAGACTACTACTTGGACCCCAAGACAAAGCGAGTTCTGGGCCAAAAACATCTTAAAGGACGAGCTTTGAAGCCGATGTTCGTTCAATTGGTTTTAGACAGTATCTGGGCTGCATACGAAGCTACCACGGGTGGAGGTAAAGGAAAAGGGTATGATGTACTGCACACTTGGGTATGTTTTGTTGACTGACAATTGACAGTGACCCTGCTCTATTGGAGAAAATTACAAAATCTCTGAATATCAACATCCCGGCATATATTCTACGATCTCGGGATCCGAGGAATATAATGACAACACTATTCTCTATGTGGCTCCCTCTTTCAACTGCAGTGCTCGTGTCTGTTATTGAATATCTTCCTAGTCCCCGAGCTGCCCAAGAAGCCCGGTTACCGGCCTTGATTGAAGAGTCACCTGGCTCAGACTTTGTGGATAAAAAAGTGAAAGATGCAATGATCAATTTCAAGACGGGGTCGGATGAACCTGTGGTAGCATATGTCAGCAAGATGGTTGCCATTCCGGAAAGTGAACTGTCGTCAAGCAAAAAACGTTCCGGTGCGACCATGTCGGCGGATGAGGCCCGAGAGATTGCTCGGAAAAAGAGAGAGGAAATAGCCAAAATGCAAGCGGAGGCCAACGGTGAACAGCAGGACGACGGCTATGCGCGAATCACTTCTGCCTTTGAAAATGTTACCATAGACGACAATAACCAAGCGCCGGAAGAGGACGAAAAGGAAGACCCAGAGCACCTGATAGGTTTTGCACGACTATATTCAGGAACCCTTTCAGTGGGTGATTCTGTCTACGTCCTCGCCCCGAAGTTCTCACCGGAAAACCCGAACGCGTCTCCCGTGCCACAGAAGGTGACTGTCACAGACCTGTATCTTCTTATGGGACGAAGTCTCGAGCCGCTCAAGTCTGTCCCCGCCGGTGTTATCTTTGGCATCGGAGGCCTTGCAGGCTATGTGTTGAAGACCGGAACTTTGTGCTCACAGCTCGAGGGAAGCATTAACCTGGCGGGTGTTTCCCTCAATACTCCACCTATCGTACGAGTCGCTCTTGAGCCAGCCAACCCTGCCGATCTGGGCAAGATGGTCACCGGTCTGCGACTCCTGGAACAAAGCGACCCATGCGCGCAGTACGATGTGCTCCCCAACGGTGAGCATGTCATCCTGACAGCCGGCGAACTGCATCTCGAGCGTTGCTTAAAGGACCTTCGCGAACGTTTTGCCAAATGTGACATCCAGACAGGCGAAACCATCGTACCATACCGCGAAACCATCGTCAGTGCACCGGAAATGGCTGCACCGAAGAACCCAGATTTGGGACGGGGAGGTGTTCTGGCAGTTTCAGCATCGAAGCAGTTGTCTATCCGGCTACGCGTTGTGCCTCTGCCTGAAGCCGTGACTGACTACTTTACTAAACATGTCGGAACTATCAAACGACTACAATCTCAGCGGCACACAACAGCAGAGGACAAGGCAGCCAACGGAACCCCAGAGGGGACACAGCAGGTAGAGACGGGTGATGCAACAGATGAAGCCCGCGAAGGAAGTATACTCTCTCTCAAGGACTTCAGGGACGAACTGAACAAGATCTTCGACGAAGAAGTAAAAGAAGACAAGGAACTGTGGAAGGACGTCGTGGATAGAATCACTGCCTTCGGCCCAAGACGAGTGGGACCGAACATCCTCGTCGATGCCACCGCAGTCAACACGTGCGAGAAATTGTACGTCCAATCCAGAAACCCTGCAACATTCACGCATGACATGGACTAACAAGAAACAGTTTGCTGGAAGACCCCAAACAACAGCCCACGGTCAACACAGAAACCAGCAGCCGCGAAGCCCTGATCGTGCGTGACTTCTGTGACAAGATCACATATGCCTTCCAACTGGCAACCGGCCAGGGTCCTCTCTGTCAAGAGCCCATGCAAGGAACGGCCGTCTTCTTAGAGGAGATAGCTGTTAATGCCAGCGAGGAAGAACTTGATCTCGGTCGCCTGACGGGCGAGGCAATCAGACTGGTCCGTGAGAGCATTTCTCAGGGATTCCTCGACTGGAGTCCTCGAATCATGCTCGCCATGTACAGTTGTGAAATTCAAGCATCGAGTACGTGCCCTCTTTACCAACCCTACCCCATCCAAGTTACACGGAATATATACTGACTCAAAACAGCTGAAGTCCTCGGCCGTGTTTACGGTGTAATCACCCGTCGTCGCGGTCGCATCCTCTCCGAGACCATGAAGGAAGGAACACCGTTCTTCACAATCCTGGCCCTGCTCCCCGTTGCCGAATCTTTCGGATTCGCTGAGGAGATTCGTAAGCGTACCTCCGGTGCAGCGCAGCCACAACTTATTTTCGCGGGATTCGAGGCCCTCGACGAAGACCCCTTCTGGGTTCCGGCTACCGAGGAAGAATTGGAGGATCTGGGTGAGTTAGCCGACAGGGAGAACGTGGCGAAGCGGTATATGGATGCAGTGAGGACTCGAAAGGGACTGGTGGTCCAGGGAAGGAAATTGATTGATGCGGAGAAGCAGAAGACGCTGAAGAAGTAAAAGCGGTTTCGTTGTTTATACCTGTGTGGATTTACGGTACGATAGATGAAGCAATTGGATATTGCACTTGGTATACATGTACATACAGTACGAAGAAAAAGTTATTTGAATCGTTAGAGCAGTTCTATTATCGAATCGAGTGTAACTACGTGTTCTTGAAATCATTGTACCCTTGATTACAGCAGCTCCAATTCCCAAAATAAGAGAAGGGAGAATCATAGCGAGGGTTGCGAGGATGAGTATTTCCCCACCCGAGATACCGTTTATCTTCCTCCGGTGACAAACGCAGTTCAGCATTGAAAAGGCCAGAACCATGGGTACTAGAGGTGTACACAAACAGCGCTTTGAGCGCCTAATTTCTCAGGACTGTCTAAAAGGTCAGAGTTATTATATTCTCTTTAATTGGCTTGTTCGTAACTCGTCACACATCGTTGAATGTGAAGCGCGAAGCACTGGTTCAGTACTTCTGATATATACAGCAATAGTATGCAAGGTGATGGAGCATGAGCTCCGTGAAAAAGTCCAGAGCATCTCAACTCTAGTTGTATAGTCTGTCCAAGACAGTTTCGAGCAGGGCGCGGCAAAGTTCTTCTGGAAGAGAGAGGGACCAACGGATCTCTCCAGCCCTCTGTTCCGGCACGCGACTCTCCGAAGTACCAAGAAAGGGACACGACATACGAGTCTTTCTCAGCCTCGTGATGATAATGAAGTGTGGGGGCAAGAAGCATCAGTAAATCAACCGACGAATGCCCTCAGCTGGTATCAAGTCGATCAAAACGGTCTTGCCACCTTCCTCAACTCCGCCTGACCAGTGACCGAATCTCTCATTTCCTTCCAGCTAACGGGGAACATCATATTGCCGGCTTCGCTACGAGCCATAACAACGCCCAGGTCGTTGCGTGCAGTCGTCAAATAGTAGAAACTCTGGTCACCGAGGGAGATAACAGTTCCACGCACAATATCACCAACGCGGAACATCTCGTCCATCACGACGCGGTCCTTCTCAACAGCACGCACATCTTCCTTCCGGATAAGAGCCTGGAAGCGGAGCTCGTCGGAACTACTATGGTTCTCGGGATTGGCGGCGGACGAGAGAATCGCTTCGATGTTGTCGTTATCGGATGTCGTCTGTGAGGGATTGACACCCTGGGTGCTGCCCGATTCATCCAATACAACGAGAATAGATACAGTAGCCTGACGTTTCTGGACTGGTCACGCGCGCAAGCACACTGAGTCGACTGCGGGGAGGGTGTTATATTTCTGTTTGGGTTTGGCGCCAGCTGCTGTGGGTACGGGTTTGGGGGCATTGCCTGTTCCAGGAGCCTTGATGGAACGAGAGACGCTTAGAGTAGCCTTGGCTTTGGAGCCTGGTTGCGCCGGTTCAACGACGACTGGGCCGGCGATGGAGGCGTAGACATTGGACTGTTGTACGTGGGTGCCTGGACCGGCTGTGTAGGAGGTCACTGGGCCCAGACGTTGGCCTGGAATGGCCAGGGCTGGAAGTGTGCTTGCCATTTCAGGACAATGGCACGAAGAAAAGAAGAAATGAATGTATAATGAGTGAAAACTGGAGCTTCTTTCTGTTGAGGGACGCAAGAGAAAACTTGTCGGCGGTGGAGAAAAGCTTTCCCGGTGGGTCCTCTGCTAGCTTCCTTTACCGCCTACCCACTACGGAGTGATTTATATGCAGCCCATAGATAGTTCTTTGGTAGTATTCAAGTAGAGCAATAGAATCTTGGAATTATATACAGATATGGATTGGTTTTGACTCTAAAGAGGTCTTCAAGGATTTTCTGACCTTCTGGTGTACATGGACTGTACGCACAGCTATCTACATGCCATGAACTCAGGCATATAGCTATTATCTATGTAAGGTATTTCTATTTATTCTCAAGTTTTCATTCATAGCAGCTTGTATACATGGACAAATCCGGATACGATAAACGAATTGGCTTCTAATAAATAGGCCGGAGGCTGGTCTCCTCCAGGTATAACTCCTATTCAATTATCTAAGTTATATCAGCGCATTGGATCCTTCGAAAATGCCTCGAGCGATACTACACAAGTTCAACCGTCAGATAATGATTCAGCTTCCAGACTACCGTATTTAGCGCCTTAAAGGCAGCTAAGATGATTAATGCCCAACTCAAGTCAAAAGGCTGATCGAAAGAGTAAACATAAACATGGCCATGGCCTTTCCAGCTATAATATAACTCCCTAGTCAGGTGAGGCTTCAGAAGATCATTTTCTAGGCTTCAAACCTCAATAGAAGGTAGCTTTTGATTATGTGGGTTCCCATTACTTACTTTTCTTGTGGTATCCAGAAGCCTGATATCTTGCAATAGTAAAAGCTCAGGTCAAGTGAGTAGTACTGTCCAAGGTTCTTGTCAGTCGCACACAATTTCGTTCTATGCACAGTAACTGTTCGTGCTAACCCTAAGTGGGGACTACTGCAGCAATTCAGCTCAGGCCTCGTATATGCTGACCGCCAAAAAGCATCAGCTCGATGGGATTTGGTGCGTGATAGACAAGCTGGAGCGTATATCCCCAAATACGATATAACTATCAACCTGAGGTTATAATCGTCCCCGCAAGTTGGGCTCATACGCATAAACCCGGCAACAACTACATAGAGCAGGTCCGAACCGCATGGATCATGGATCCATGATCTTCAGTCCATGCATACATAGTAACCAATCAAATTTAAGGGGGCATATCATCCTACCAATCAAGATTGGGACCATGTGCAAGGGGAACTGATACTCAAACAGAAACCTTCTTACTTCCTACTGCCTACCTGTCATTCCCCACGGCTAATGTCTGATATCCGAAAGTTGCTTGGGCCACGTCAATCTCTCCTCCCCCTCCCCCCCTCTTTCCTATGACCTTAACACTGAGAGATTAGATTTATGTACGGAGAAAGAGGGGGATAAGAGGTTGAAACTACGTAATGAGAAAGAGCGGTCAGAGGTAGACATTCGGTTGGATACCAACTTCCACAGGCTCCCATTGCCATCTTACACCCGTATATAAATATGGGGGACTCACCCAGCGCTGAAGTACTTGGGCCTTTCTAGACATATCTAATCGTTTCCTTGCCATTTTTCAAGTGACTACTGCCCAACATGAGCGCATCTGCTGGCCGAAGCAAGATCCGAAAAGGGAATACAAAGCCCGAGGATCTTGACCTGAGCAAGCTGAAAAAGTCCCTTGAGGATGCTGAAGAAGGTAATCCTCGCTTCTATATTTCTATCCTATACGTGCTAACAATGATATAGCAAATGAAAATGACCCCCAAGCCATATTCGATATCTACGTCTATGATGACAGCTCCGGCAAAGCTAAAATGGATAAATTCGTCACTCTGGGAAGTTTCAAAAATGTCCAGGGCACGAAATTGTCAGATATTCGTGCGATGCTGAATAACGAGAATGGGTTGAGTGCCAGGCTGTATGTGATTACTAGTCCCTTCCCGAGGTTTAGAAGTAACATATATACTAAAAAGCTTGCACACAGGGATCCCCCTTCTGCAACAAAGTTGGGGCTGTTGCGAATGAGGACTTGCCTTTCACTGAGTATATCAAGTCGCTCGATAGGGGTGGAACGAAGAGCGAGGAGAAGAAGGAGGAGAAGAAGAAGAAGGAGACTGACAAGCAGGGATATTCTACTCAAATTGTGAGTACTGTTGTTCTCCCCCATGTGGATGTCACTGATGACTATGATAGCCCGGCGCAGATGAACCAGTGGAAGAATCACAGACATATGCTGTCTATTTCAAATCTCGCGCTTTGACTTCGGAGATGAACGATGTGACCAAACAGTTTCTGAAAGAGAAGCTAGAGCTTGAGTTGCGAGTATGCATGATGTCTTGTTTAGGATTTGTACTATCAACTAATTTTTAGCAGAAAGCAGAAATCAGTAAGGCCGACAAACCAGACATCCTGACCAGCTCGTACGATCACAAAAGCTTTATGGCTGGAGCGGGTAAAGGAGCAGTTGTGTAATTATCCCCTGCAAAGAATATAGCCTTGGACTACACTAACAGAAACTTTTGCAAGTCATCCCACCGACATGACCCAAGGACAATGGAATACCGTCTTGGAAACCAATTCCCTTCTGCATGCAAGTTACGTTAGGCTGTTGCGTAAGGGCACCGTTTGCAAAGTCGAACGAGCCATGTATCCAGCGTTCCAGTTGAGACCCCGTCTGTTCCTTGACTTCAATGCTTCAAAGGACGATAAAGACATCGTTATTCCAGCTGTATGTATTTCCTTTTCGGCAGGTAAGCTCAGTGGGAACAGACAGAACTAATGGATTTTGAACAGAGGCATTTGTTCATCCCTCGTTATCGAGTTGAAGATGACTCTTATGTCGAGGTGTCTGAGAATAAATCCTCTGTAGCATCGGCCATTGCCTCTAGTTCTTTGTCTGAGACTGCTGCTGAAGTTGCTGTGTAAGTTAGAATTGATACTAATGATGACTATGCGCAGAGATACGTATAGCTAACCAAACTAGTGGTGGAGGGGCCTTCGGTTACAGCGCCGGGGCAAAGGGTGGCTTCAAGGCAGAAGAGAAGGGATCTGAAAGTAAGGCTACTAGTGAAGAAACAAGACATATGACCATCACGTACAATGTGAGTCCCTCATTTTTAAGATTTCTATCATTTGGTTGACTCTAAGGATTAGTTCCCTCGTGTTGTCCTTCAACTTGATGAAGAAAGCCTGGAACTCACCGAAGAATGCGCGAATGCTCTCCCCCATGTTACAGACATGGCATCTCTCACGGCTTTCAAAGCCAGATACGGTATATATTATATATCTTATCACTGAATGTTATCTCTAATGAAAGCTGTCTAGGAACCTTCTTCGCCACCCGCGTTGAACTGGGTGGTCGACTACACGCAACGGAAGACTCAGCCGCCCTGGGAAATGCCAGCGTATCTGAGAAATCTAAAGCAATGAAGGCTGCTGCCAGCTTGAGCTTTTCCTCGTCATGGGCCCAAGGCTCGGCTAGTACTAGCTCTGCTTCGTCGGCTGCAAAGAAGACCGAGGATAGAGATAGTTCGTTGAACGTGAGCATGACGTGGGAGGCTAAGGGTGGCGATACCTTGCTTTGCAATAAGTATATTGTCTCCTCCATTGAAGAAGTGGGCGAAGCTGATGATTATGAAAGTCCCCCAGCTTGGTGTTCCACTGTGGCTTCCTTTTATAACTGGCGAGTGGTCAAGGTTAGTACATCATAGGTATACTCCTGCCACCCTGAAGAACGCCTCCTGACAGCAAAACAAACAGCAAGAAAACCTCCTGTCAATCGAGGATATTATAACTAAAATTCCTGGACACGAAGATGTCAAAAGCAAGTTCTCGAGAATTATAGAAGGCGAAAAAGCAAAACAGCGGGTTGTAAGTAAAGGTACTATCCAAGTCCGTTTCCGGGAGATGGAGACCGGCCATTACCTTGCCCTTGAGTCACAGCCCAGCATGGCAATATGTAAGACTCATCAATGCTCAACGGATACAACGATATTGCATTATGCTAACATTTAGTAGCTGAACTAATAGCCAATTTCGTCCCTTTCATGGGATGCTCCACTGCTGCGATAAACTGGGCGAGGGAGAATCAGAAACAATGGCGTCGAGTTATTCTGCAACCGGAGCCAAATGTTTTCAATCTGCACGGTATGGTCGCCACCACCAATAGCAAAGGACGTGTTCTTGCTGGCGGTGCATATACACTTTGTAACATGGAAAACACCTTTTTAGAAGGTACACCGTTTGGTCCATCATACCAAATCTCCCACATGCACGAGGGAGCCAAAGAAACGGCGTGGGTTTTCACTATAAAACCGCAGGACTCGTTGCAGGAGGCACAATCTGATTTAGAGCCGGGGGCTAAAGTTGAGTTCAGAGTAAGTGATGATAAGGGACAAGACCTGGGATTCATGAATTATTTCTCTTTTAATACCGAACAAATCCCCTGGTGCTATTCGGGGACATCGATGAGCCGAGGACTGAGGTTCAAGATAGAGTATGTTGCTTAATATGCTAAATGATACCATGTCGTATGGCGCTCAAGTGAAATATGACGGCCGTGAGGAATTACTGAAATATACTATATCGAGCTCAATCTGATTGTTCACGCTTTTGGTGGCCTTGCGGTCATATTTTGACAACTACTCAGACCATTGAAGGACCTTTATGGGTAATGCTTTATATTGCATATTGTTGATATTTCTCGTAGAAGAGCCATCCTTAATGTAGTCCGTAAACATCTGGCAGAAGATAGCGGTTGCATGGAGATCACTCCAGCCAGTACCAAAACCAAGATACGACTGCCCCCAAATTTCTAGGTCCGGAAGGTAGATACTACTGAGGACCTACTGGGCAATAAGTAGAAGCTTAGGGTAGTATGACAATTTACTCCATAGCAGGTAATCAGAGCAAGGTTTTACTGCGTTTACGTTATATCTTGTATTTGCGTTATACTTGGAGAGTACATATCGACTGAAACTATGTCTGATTATTAATGGGAAAAGAATATAAAAGACTTGATGAACGAAATAATTTATCTATTTACTCAAAGAAGGCCGAATAGTAAACTAGTATCATTCACATCAAACAAATCTAAGCGCTAGTCGCTTAAAGCGTAACAACAATCTTCTTCGCAGAAACGCCAGCTTTGTGCACCTTCATCCCATGCTCGAGTGCACTCAACCCATGACCTACAACCACCGGGTCAGGCTTCGCCTGCAACTGTCCGCTGGCCAATGCCTCGGGCACAAACTTCCCCCAGATAGCTTCGCCAAACGCTTCATTCGGGGCCGTGGCGATTTCAAAACAGAAGACTGAAAAGGTCAGCCATCTCTACAAGCATGCGATAATACGTAATATGGGCATGACATACCAAAGAGGGGGTCAAACCCCTCTGAGGGCTTCTCACGAGCCAGCGCAGCGGCAACTTTGACCTGGCGGCCTAGACGCTTCAGAATCTCCGTGATCGGCTCGAAACTGGGCTCTTCGGCAATGGCATCGTAGACGCCAGCAAGGTCGCTGTCTTGCAGCTCCTTGACAATGTCCTCGACTACAGACGGGGATCTGTAATCGAACACGGCACTGGCGCCCAGGGCTTTGACAAACTCATGATTAGCCGGAGAAGCTGTGGTGACTACTTTCAGACCGGATGCAACGGCGAGTTGGATAGTGACTGCGCCGACGGAGGAGGCCCCTCCCCAGACGAGGAGCGTCTTTCCGGTGGGCTTAGGGTTTGGCGAGGGGAGGTACGGAAGACCGAGATATTTCGGAATGTAGAGACCGGAGGCCGCTGTCGAGATGGCCACGGGTAGCACGACGGCTTGCTCGAAGCTCATGGAATCCGGAATCACGGAGGTGAACACTTCATCGGCGACTGGATAGAGCTGGAATGCACCCTTGGCAGGGACTTGGTCTCTTAATGTTTGGGAGTGTCTATCCAGGTGTATCAGCCATCGTGAGCGCCGTAGAAAGGTATAAGGGATGAGATAGCTTACGAGATGACGCGCTGACCCTTCTTGAAACGGGTTACCTCTTCCCCCACTTCTTCAACTGTTCCTGCAATGTCTAGACCGAGCACCATCGGCCAATTCTTAATGAATGGTGCCGCGATTCTGACATGTTAGCATGCGTGCTGGTTACAGTCTTGAGTGTTTGTCGGTGGCTTACTGGATCTTCCAGTCTGCTGGGTTCTGGGTTGAGCTGTTAGTCTATTTGTGGATATTCAACGAGATGTCATGGACTTACAATCGCCACAGCTTGGTTCTTGATGACCAGTTGCCTCGGGCCGGGTTTTGGCATCGGCGCAGGGCCAAGCCGAAGAGGTTGACCTTCGGCGTCGAGCCAGGCAGCTTGGTTCAGAGACATAATGGATGTGATAGTAAACGAAGTAATTCGCGATGTTCGTTATTCGTAGAGAGATTGACTTCCTCCCAGGTCCTACAAAGCTCTTTTATAGAGTCGAAGTTCCATTCTTACTAACTTCTAGATGGGTCTATAGGTAGTTAAATGCCAAGACTAATAATAAGATCGGTACTTTTGGCCCCCATGAACTTAATTAAATCGCGCAGTCATTCCCTAGTTAGGATATCAATCGATGCCAGAGGAAATTCACCTGGAAGTTATGTATGGATGGTTCGTTTTCAACAGCCGGCTTTAATGCGTAAGTCCGGTAGTACTCCCCATGTGACCAAATGTCGGGCACCCACTTTAGGGGTCAGGTGTACCAAGCCTTTTGACCCAAAGACCAATATTACCTGCGAGACACGGTCCACGGAAGCCGTGGTCGGATCCCGGCGGTGGTGGCTGGCAGGGGTTCAATGGTCTAGCCCACGGCTACCCGCCTTTACGGGTACGCTAGGGAATAGGGATCGGGGGCCTAATACTAAGATGTTAGGGTTGCCGAGAATAGCCTATCGCGGAAGCTTAGGTACTAAAAGGCTCAGTAGGCTTCAGCCTGGGACCCTTGTATATATATGGCTACGTAAGAACAAAGTCAAGAGAGCCCCAAGGGTTCCAGCCAGTAACCTATAAATACCTGGCTACCCAGACTATGACGAGCTAGTAGTGTCGCTCTCAAATTCGTGACTGAGTTGTATATCGTAGGCCTTTTTGTCCGCAAGTCTCTGTGTCAAGATGGGCACGATATCCTGCGCCCAGTACCATAGCATAATTTCATGAAAGGCATCTTGATCGGGACATTTGTCAATAAATCTGGGTTGAAGTTCCTTGTCAAAGATTGCAAAGAGTCCTGTGGGGCTTGACAGAGCTAGGCTATACTAGAAAGCTCCCTTGTCCCAGGCTGCGCTTATTATGCGTGATAGCTGTAGCGAGACTGAAGAACGATCCTTGCAAATATAATCACGGGAGCCCTCTTCCTTACTAAGAGCGCTCATGAATTCCAGTCGACTATTGTTGTATTCAGAAGATACAATCCGATCTATAGCCATGCTGGTAAGCCAGTGGGGAGGTTGGATCATCTCAACGGGCAGAGAGCATGCCCATTCAAGGTCAACAAGTGACATTATGTTCCAGTTCTCATCGACGAAAATATTGCTTGGATGTAAATCCGTCAACGAGAAAATAAAAGGCCCGCGACGAAAGTTTCGACTGAAAAATGATGGAATAGTCTGCAAGGTCATTTATGGCGTTTGGCTGATGACGAAGCCGGCTGTCATGAAGAGACAATATATCTACTACACAGGAGTCGACTGTGGAATACGTATAATCTTGTGGTATATCCGTTGGGATGCGTTCATTTTCGAGGTCTTAGATCCCAAGAGACAGTGGTCGGTTTTCAAGACATATGAATCCATCGTTGTCGATGATAAAAGACTCAATCCTAGGGAGTGGTATCCTCGACAAACTCAGGTATATTCTGCTGAGGTCCTGGAATAGGTTGGTCCGTAACTTCACGTCCTCGCGGTTCAAGCTCCAGGTGGATGACAACATCTTGCCCTTCGTTTCCTCGATATATTCAATTAGGAGGTAACCAATGTTGGGACTCCGTTGGGTAATTCAGTTTTGCACTGATGACGGATATATCTCGAAGGGGTTGGGCGGCCGAGAAAAAACAATACGCGATGGCGCGAATATTGTATACAACGAGTCAAAACTGGAAGATTCTCAGTTCGAGTGAACTATATCGGACATTAGTTAACAAGTCCCAAAAATTACAAAAGCTCCATACAGTTTCCCCGGTAGCTATTCCAAGCCCATAAAGCCGCGGAATTGGTATATATGGACAGTTTTCTTCTAACCAGGCATACGTTCCTGCTTCACACCGAACTTTTTCGTCTCCATTTCTAGGTCGAAAATTCTCTCCGATACGGTATGGCAATGGGAAGCGAACAAGAACACGGTCTCCCGATTGTCGTTTCTGGTTCCATTCAAGAATTGTGACTGGTATGTATATATTGAAACTTCCATGAAGCCATTCCGCAACATCGGCCACCTGGCACGCGCGTCAATAGAGGGGGGATTCGGGTGATGGGCGACAATAACTCTTATCCAGCTGCACTTGCTTTGGAGAAGAGTAAAGAACTGAGCTTGTTAACTGGGGTAGCTAAGTTGATGTAAGGTATTAATTTCCTTAGTCTTAGCATGAGAGTATGTCAATTCTTCATGAAGCAACTGACGTGTTTTTGACATGACGATAAATCCGGCGTCACCTTGAGAATCAAAGTAGGGTTTAGGTAGAGGAATGTGTCGGGAATGCCAGCTAACGCCCGGACCCCTTATCCAGCCTCGATCAGTTTCCGGGCCGTGCTTCAGATAGGTACACAAAAATGATCGGAGCCAGCGAGTTGGTGCAAACATATGCTTTTTATTGGTTGTTGAAGAACAAGGCCCGCTCTATCCCTTGCGCATTCATGAATGACATGAGCCGAACCCGGTGGAGTGGTGCTCTGGCGAGACGAAATACAAGTCGCTATTTGGCACCCTCATTCCACACTGGATCCATCTGCAGAGTATAGTATGGATCGTCTTCGATAATCACTAGGACATGCTTCTCGGCAATAGCGTAGATTCTTAATGAACAAGGAGGGTTACACGATTGAATGTATCATCCAATTCCACGAGGAAAACACGTCCTATAATGGTGTAGCAAATTAGAGATATTTCTTCGGCGCTGATAGCAAAGTCATGTTCGCACAATGAGAATAATCGCCGGATAGGAGTAACTGGCAAAGTTCAAATAGTGAATAACATCCGTACGCGGTGGTTATTTTTGTATTGGAAAATCCGAACAAGATAGATATCTCCATGATATGCAACACGCGAACTCCTGCTCCAATGGTTTGTGATCCCTTGCGAAAATATTAATGATCTCACATCATAGCGTAGGCAGGGTTGTAGACTGGTCAGGCAGATATGAGAACGTGACATCTGGATCAGCCGCTTGAGCCAGGGAAGCCTTGATCCTTTGCTGAGCTTGTTGGCAGTCAGCATAGTGCGGATCCTTGGGCCGGATTACCGTTAGGATACAGGCAAAGAACGTGTTTAATTCCGAAATCACCGTTCCTTGGCTAAATGAATTCAATCTGCTCGTGGTTTGGCTAGAGTGGGTACAGTGAAGTGAGGCCAGTATCTTTGCGCTTGGGAGTCCGTATAGAACAAGCTAAGAGGAATTCTCATCAGCAATTTGTCCTTCGCGTAGGCGTGGTTCACATTGAACTGGTCAGAAGACTTCTACAACTCACTCTCCATGCGAAATCGGAACGATATTCTTCTAAGCTACCCAAGAACTGCACTCCACATATCATCGTCTCGAGTGTCTTTCGACACATCTCCCCCAGAGTGTAGACCTGTCCGGGCAGCAGATGCTGCCAGATGTATACTTGTGTGTATAGGTATTCCAAATAGGCTATTAATAAGCTATAGCTTTGATGTGGTAACTGTTCCATTTGCCAACTCTCCGGCTGTACACCGCTAGAAACTTTCAGGGATTGCCACATGCCCTCTAGCAGTCGAGTCATATTTCTAGAATACATCAGTTCGTACAGTACACTATAAAGGAGCCCCGAGACATACCCAGATGTAGAGCCTTCTGGGCTGTCATGTAATGTCGACCTCGCAACCTGGGCGTGTTCGCGTAGTATGCTCATGACAAAACTGGCCTTTTCTACAAGTGATGCTGGGGAAGACAGGGAGTGACTCAACCTAGTTGAGAGATAGTGGTTGAGCCCGTCGGCAGCAGGGAAAGACAAAATAACATTGTCTAAATCCATACAGTACTGCCTTGGGATTCGTGATGGTCGATTCATTAGCGTGGTTATAGCCTTGTCCAGTGTATAAGCTGTCAAGAACAACTGTTGGCGAATATGCATCGGTGTAATGGCCTGGTTTCTCAAGTACTGTTTGTGCAGCCCAATAGTAAAAAGTACGTTTCCAATATCTCCTAACCTCCGCCAGACATGTCGACCTATCGAATTTTGAGCCCATGTATTAGCACCAACCGTGACAAGTATAACGGCAAAGTTCACCCACTGTGGCCACCGTAGATTCTAATCAGCAGAATGATGTCTTGGATGAGAAGCCATAAATAAAGTTCAGTTTTGGTGCCGGTCATTTCCTGGAACCTTATGCATGTGTTAACGGCATGAGTCAGATCTTTTAGGATCGTCTCTTTTGTCCAAGAGTCTGGCTGTGATGCGTCACTGTCGAAATCAGATAGGTCATGCCTTATAGTTAGGGATAAAGCGACGGTAGCATATATGATACCAATTACGTCCCATCGCAGGCAATCCTGCTCATCTAGACATTGTGGAGTGTAACCGCGGGAACTGAGGTTGTTGACCAGCCATCTTGGAGGAATCTTGGAGTTATGGAATACCCGATCCACAGTTTCAAACACCCGAGTGTTGACTTTCTCGAGGGATGTATCCGACTGCGACTGTGTGAAGTAGGTAAGAAAGGAGCAGACGAGAGGTTTCATAAGGACACCGGGGGTATCTGGCGGGAGAGAGTCTAGGAGCTGTTGGAAAGAGACAGAGCGTGTAACGTAGAACAGAACCTGATAGGCAGCGGAGATTGTTTCCAGATCATCGGGTGAATGAACCATATGCGGACCAGGAATACCGCTGGCTTGGGCAGCATTGCCGATAGAAGGGCGCTTTGGTTGTTGGGGCTCCATTCAAAGACTTTTTGGAAAGCCACAGCGCCGATGGGTTATTGGCAATTGATAGGGGCAGCACGGAGTACCGGCTGTAAATAGACCACCTACATCCTTTCTATGTTCTCCAACTCAAGCGAATCTGCTTCTGAGACAATCGTCACATTTGATCCATGTCATTAACCCCTTTTCATGTCTCAATTGCTGATCTTTTGTGGCATGGACTTTGGGATGCCGCTGCCACCTGCCCCTTGGAAGCAAGGCGTGGCACACTGTGAACATTCCAAACCTTGCAGGAGAACGCCACTCAACGTCCAGTCAGCCGTGGTACTACCAGTCATGGCTGTCCGTTGCAAAAAACTCCCCTATTCTGTCTAGACTACCGTCATACTGGAATGCTGCGTCTACCATGGTTCAGCCAGCCTCGACATTGTCGTGGCTGTGTCCCGTAAGTACAGGTTAGCTGGCTTAGGATATTACACTGTATGTTAAACCATCGTTATCGTTAGCTTAGCTAGCTGAGCATTGAAGGCTCATAGATCATGAGTAGCTTAATTTAGAATATGGCGATGCAACCGTCGTATTATGATCCGGACCACAGCCAGTACCCACCCTAAAGCCGGTAAATGAATCCGTGAAGTCAGCTGCCTCGCAATACTTACATTTTTTAAAAAAAAAAAATAAATAAAATAAAATGTGTGGTTTGAATGCGAGTATTTATGACTTTTTTGCCTTTTTATTAGGTCTAGATTGAAAGGATAGGCTTTGAGAAGTATAGAAGATCTATGGACTAATAATAGGATTAGCTGTGAAAATAGTCTTTCACTATCCGCGGGCCGCAAACCGACGTGCCGCTAGGATCGGAGCCCTAATTGAATAAATTAAAGTTTTCCAGCTTAGAACATGACAACTGAAGCGAGCAACCCGTTCCCAACAATTGGTGTCAAAGTGTCATGCATTCGAAGACCCTGCTCCAAGTGGGTAGCCGTCATGGTGAATGTCAGCCTTCCGGACGCGGAAGTCTGATTTATATGAGTACATATTGTCACGTATCCAGCCTGTTAGCTCGACCACCTTCCCTCTTCTAGAGGTTAACAGTGCCTAAGATCCAACCTTCTTATCGTGGTCCCACCAAAGGAGCAATTGACCACAAGGTCAACATACAATGATCCGTCGTAATGGCAAGAGAAGCTCTTGCGAGCCTTGTCGGAAGTCGAAAATTAGGTGCGACCATGAGTTCCCCATATGTCGGAGATGCCAATATCGCGGTATGACTACAAGTTGTATATATCATCCAGCGCCAATGACCCGATCGGACTCTCTACAGCAATATCATCATCACGACCCTCAAAGACTGTCGCGGCCCATTTCATCCCCTGCAGCTCCTTGGGATGGCAGGGGTAGTATCACTGAAGATGTGTACGTTCATTCTTTCCATTTTTGAGCTACATGACTGGCTTTGGACGTTTTTGGGCGAATGTCGTTATGACATACTATGCCTTGGACACTGGCTGGTACAGCAGCGTTGATAGAAAGGGGAGCGGCCTAGCAGGCATTGGTCGACCGGAGGGTGTCCTAGTGACCAGGGTGGCTCCGTATAAATTTTATGAAATGAATACTAACCTCCTTTCTCAGACAAGTCTATCAAGAGGGTTTGGACACCCAGCCTAGCCGTATAAATGGGGCCAATTACCCGTCGCCCTCACCTACCATTCGCAACATATGCACCACAGATATCCAACAAGGATCTACTCTTTTAAAACGTCTTACTGATATCTCAACCCTCGCAAATCTCGCAGAACGGTTCGTCCAATCACGGAGCCATGGGACCCCAATCCCAGTTCTTCTGGCACAAACGGTCATCACATCCTTAGCAGAAGATCCTTCAATCGAAAAAATGAGCACCGGAGATCAATTGGCAAAGTCAATTATGATCACTGGGAATACCTGTCGCGAACTGGAACTGGGGGTATATGTATCTCCTGATAGCCTCTGCAAAAGGTTCACAGGGTCTGCAATACGCTGGGAGGCGCTGGGGCTCCTATTCACATGGGTCACGCTTGCTTTGCTACACTCACCAACGGATGACAGGGTTGCTGCAAATTTCATAGCGACTCATGGTACTAACAAAGCGTCATGCGTTTCAACAATGATGTACTGCAGTAATCTATGTATCTCATTATGTAAAGAATATGCACCTGCAAATGAGGTTCTCCTGTGGTTGCTGTACGAAAGTCTGACCCTCACAGCACAATTCTATGGTGATTGCAGTAAGCCCCCTTGAACACATCCATCAGGCCATCATAATCGCATTGGAGACATCACAACATTTCTATAACAAGCTTATCGTTCTAGGTCATCAGACGTGGCAGCGCCTCGGCGACCTGGCCACTGAAGCCCTAGACCCGACCATAGTCAAGCCTGGCGCGGGGAACCGAAAGGTTTCCTTTTTCCTTTCCCAGTCATGAAGGAAGATTATAGCTTCTGCGTATTGGATAGATAAAAGTTTGGCGAGTTTCCACGGTCAAATCCCGCGAATTCCTTGCCTCCCACAGGATTTTGAAATCCCACTTGATATTGATGACGATGCACTTCTTGCAAAGGGCTTTCCTCGCTCAGAATCGCTACATTCGCGAGTCAATGATTCTAATCAATCGGATTCTGTCTGCTCAGCTACATATATCCGTGCTAGATATATCTTGGGCGGTTTTCGAGATGAGCTTCTTCAACTGTCCCATGCAGTGTCTTCTATCAATAGGCTCCCAAAGCTAAAGTAAGCCATGGATTCATTCTTTCCATCGTTCACTATATGTTACTTATGGTTTTTCAGGGATTTATCTTGGCGCTATAGGGCCACCTGGCTAGAGATGCCGATCAATCTGCATCACAAAGACACTGACCAGGTCGAGGCGATGCCCTACATGACCTCCTTCCCACAGCTACTACTCTTCTTGGATTTTCTTCAGGGTGAATATCTTATCTATAAAGAGCTCAGTAACATTATCGAGAGCATGAGACCTCAGCTTCTCTGGCACTGCAAAAGGACCCTCAATATAGTGATCAGTCTGTTTGCTTTCCCTAAGATGAGGGCACAGACTAGTCCGCTGGAACGTATCCGCGTGGTGAGTTCTCCGTCCGCCACCTGACTAGTACGCATGGCTTCTCAATAAACTAAGACCTCTCTCTTCATATGCCAGGGAGTATTATATGGTGTCCCATGTGCCGAGTACCTTATCCTCACCCTGAAGGAGTACAATGGAAACAACGGATTACATGGTCATTCACCATCTCCAGTGGAGCTTATACGCAATATCAGTGCTCTCATCAGTTCCCTGGAGCACGAATACCATTCTGATGATCAGCTTAGCCTTCCCTACATCAAAACGTATAGGAATCTGGGGTGTGCCCTTAATGACATTCTTGAATCGAAGGAGATATCCGCTCTTGGCTGCGATACCGGTCCTAGTTCATCGATCATTTCCCCTGGTTCTGGAATCTTCGGAAACGACAACATTGGAAGCCAATCAATTGACTGGGGGGATGACCTTGGGTGGAATATGCAATGACTATTATAAAATATGTTTCACTAGAGTACAAATACTAGAAGTGGGCATCTTCACATCTTCTGGTCTGGCTAAATGGTCTGTCAAATACTGTTGAGCCCAAGAAAGCATGGGCCAGGGCTTTCGCGGTTTTGATTTCTGGCCTTTATAGCCGTTTCAAGAAGGAGGTTTGAGATGCCTCATATATTACTTTATATACTTTGAAGAAAGACTGATAAATTGGTGATTTTATGTACCACCTGTAACGAGTACTTCTATTATCTGAGTCTGAACAGAACCAACAAGTGTGAGATCAATCATGCTTCTAGGGCATCTAAACACCCGTATATAGTTATCAACAATGATATACTACGGTTATACGTAAGCTACATTTATCAGAATGATCTATGATTGCAGGAGAAATTAGTCATACATCGGATAATACTATCAAATATCACTATTCAACGTGCTGAACATTTACTCAATACAAAACCGATGCTGTTTCAGGGAAGGCTGGGAAAGCCTCATTATATTGGATGAGAAAGTAACGATAAGAAGAGGATTCATAAAACAATACACTTACGCAGGACCCCCCGCATAACACTCCATACACCGCCGATTCTACCTGGTTGCGGGTAGGATGTTATAGAATAGGCAGTGAACAGAAATACCCAGCATTTCAACCTATTAGCCGACGGGTAAACCCAGACGACTGAAGGCTTGGCCGACACAGGGTACTTAGTTGGGCTAAATGAAATAGCCGATATTCGCAATTCACCTTGCTCATATTACATTCGCTAGGACTGGTGAGGCGTAATCGGCGGTATTCGTGTCCCCGTACAGATACTATTGAACTAGAAGCTAAGCCACTCTCCCCTTCTCTCCAGTAAAGCGTCCACGTGCTGATGTGCATTTCCAATACTATGCATCTAATATATGCACGGCGATGATCAGACAAGAGCATCGCCCCACTCAGATGACCCCCACTTGATCTAGCTAATATGTAATATAAATGATAATCTGCAGGCCTTGTTGGATACTATTGTAATCTTACTGTTCGCCTAGTATCGACCGCTCCGTCTCACCTTGCATACAGAAAACGGGGCCCAGGTTCATCAGCTAAAAATAACAGCGACAGGATGAAGAAGCTTTTGTGATGATGGGATTGACATGGCTATGCGTGGGGTTAATATTAGCCAGGATGGTGGTTTCAGATGAAGTCGGGGTCGTCTTTCGGCCGTGCGAGTAGAAATAGTTTGTATAAGTTTCCTAGCGGTCATATAATCAATAAACAGATATAGGCAGTAATAAATTTATACCTGTTTATTCGATAGAATATATTATAAATTAACGTCAATTTTTCCCTTGCTGGTTCGCTAACTACTTTGCAAACCATTCATCCTCACCAAATAGACGGTCTTGCATCTCAATCCACATCTCCCTCACTTTAAGCGCTCTTTTTTCATTCTCAAGCTCCATTTCACGTATTTCCTCCTCTTGCTTCCTGAGACCTATTTCCTTTTGTTTGACTTCTGCCTCCTTTTGTCTAACATCTGCTTCAAGTTTTCGAAGCTCAAGCTCTTGACGTCTCTGTTCGAAAGTCAAGGCATTTGTTGGAGCAACACCAGGAAGATCGTAAGAGGGTCTTATGGGCCTAATTGATTGATAAGTACTGAAGAGATACTCTTTATCATCATTCTGTGAAGTCAATCGGGAGGGAGGTCGTGCACTTCTTTGAGCTGGCGGAGGTTGTGGTAAAGTCGTTGATAAGTACTCGGAGACATACTCGTGATCACCATCCTGTGGAGTAGATCGGACGGCGGATATTGCACTTCTTGGAACTACCGGATTTCGTGGTAGAGCGGTTGTTAAATACTTGGAGACACACTCGTTATCGCCATTCTGTGAAGCAGGTCGGGAGACGGATCTTGCGCTTCTTTGAGCTGACGGAGGTCGCGGTAAAGCGGGTTGGTTTTCAGGGAGACTAGCTGAAGAGGACCGTTGACGCTTGCGGCTACCTATGGAAATGATTTAGTTGAGAATTATTTAATGATAAATTGATCATGAATGAACACACTTACTTTCTCGAGTCATAAGAGAGGTAACAGAGTCGGGGGCGGTGGTGGATGTTTATGCACACCGTGCGATGTAAACAAGACATATGGACATTGACTGAGATCCACTGGAACTAAAGCGTTAAAGTAACATCACAGGTTGTACGCTTTAATTGGCCTAGTCCCTGAGGATGAAGTCGTTCTTTTGCGCAGTTAGCAGCCGGTTATTAAACTCTTTATAGGTAGCCTACCACAATGTTTCCGTCGGGATGTTAGAGGCTCAAAAACACGGCAATCTTCAGTTGGTGGTAAAATATCTTTATTAAAAAGATCTTCAAGAAGCTGTAGGTCGATAGCCGAAAAAGCTGGTATTGTTTCCCTGTAATGTTTTGCTCTAACACAAGAGGCTTCATTGATACAGCCAATATAGGGTTTATATTCGCCATAAACAATCTAGAGCAGTTAGAGAGTACTTAAGAACCACGTATACAAGACACAGTGCCCACCATTTGACTATCTTTCTTTTTGAAGACTGGCTTACATGTAGAAACTTTGTCGATACAGGCATGGCCTTTCTGGAAGAGATTCAGTCTCGACCGATAGTAACTATAAGTAGTTAGCAATTAGTTGATAAGTAGTTAAGAGTATTGAGATTACTTGTACGCGTTTCTTGTGCCCAGGTCTTTGCCTATGATCTGAGCCTCCCTCTGAGCTTTTAGGATTTCCTGCCAAAAACTGTCATCCACAGAGGTGTGGTGAAGAGATCGAAGCGCGGGAGTCAAAAATTCACATGCATAGATCCCAGAGCATTTCCAGTTCCATTTTCTGGCGCGGCAAGTAAGAAATGGGCTAAACACTGGTCCTCTCGGCCCATGGCCTTTGCTTCTTGCATACTGAATCTAGCATTACTTAGTAGTCAGTTATACATGTAGCATCACTTCGTATTTACCTCCTGTACAACTTGCTCCATTTCACTTTGTGATCGTCCTCTTGCGGAAACAGCATATGTATATCCATGAATATGGCTTCTTGGATACTCTGGTAGGTCATCGACATGTTCTATTTTCAGAGTTGTAAGGCCATGGCCTTTGGCTTGTGTGAGATGAATGGGAGTAGGAGATGGTTCCTGTATTAAGTACTTAGCAACCAATTAGAAACTGCTTGTATAGTACTTCGGAACTAGTTTACCGTCACCTCAATACCCGGATCATTTTCAGAACCAAGTCCATCCACATCGACGATAGAATTACTAGACTCCATGAAGTGAAAGAAAAAAAAGAAAAATCGGATGTCTTGCAACAGTTTCTAGATACTTTGTAACAGCTTATATTTTTCAAATATTATTAGGAGGCAGAAAGAAAGTGGGAAAATAAATTACAGAAGTTATGTACAGCTTTAATAGGTTAGTGTGTGCTTATTAAGGTATTGGATAGTCACGTGAGTCCAATACACGAACTACTGGATGCTCACGTCCTCTGTATATTATCCGTGATGTACGTAGTAGTTTATACTATCTGCTGCTTTCTATTGCTTAACCCACACTCTGTGAATAGAATGACAAGGTTTGGCCGACTGCACATACCCATGTTGGCTGCTTCACTCCTTCCACAAATTCCAAATGAAGGTATCAGTTTCGAATGTCGGCTAATTCATCATCATTCGACCGATTGGCCTAGTGGTTACGGCGCTCGCTTTACATCGTGAACGCGAGAGATCGCAGGTTCGATCCCTGCATCGGTCATTTATTTTTCTACCATCATTTTTGCTTTATCTTTTTTGATTACTTTATTCTATTTTTTAAATCTCTTAGAAACAAATGGGTTCCAGTTGAATAAAACATAAATTCTATCTACACAGATCCCAGGGCGTGTTTTGTTTTTTGTACTTGTCATGTACATCCCAAAATATATATCCGCAGCATCTTCTACCCACCACTACCCATTTAAGAATCAATCATGTCAGTACCTTAGTTGTCCTCCGATGTCGATAGATATAAAGCCTCCAGCACCTTCTATACCCCAGCTGTAACAATAAAAAATGCCCAACCATGTAACATTGGAACAGTACTCAATCACCACAACCAACACACCCAAAACAGCAACAATCAATCTATACGAAACCCAACATAAGCACTTGAGCAGGAGAAAGACCGTTTAGCTAGTGAAACATAAACACAGAGGACAAGAGACAAGAGACCAAAGCCCTTGTCCCACCCCTCACTGCCACAAGTCATACCAACAATGTCCGACTTGTTCCTGAGCAAACCGCTAATCTGTAGAGAACAAACAGAACCCAACTCTGAATCTTATTATTATTATATACCAACAAAAAGAAAAACGAAATGAAACTGATACACCAACACAAAGCCAACCCAAACACAGCTGTCACACTAACAAACTACATAATAAACAGTAGGTACCACCCCCCAACCAACCAAAAAGCTAAAACACCATACCATACCTACCAAGCCAGTATAAAATTACCCTAGAAAAAATTCTTCAAATTCCTAGGTAATCAAGGCAAGACAAACAGTGACCGTGCCATCACAACCCCCACTATGATAAGGGACTGAAATGTAACCCCTCAATCTCACCTCACCGCACTGAAACTAAACACAGCCGCAAAAAGCCAAACGGCCCCATTTATGTCGCCTTATCGCGTATGTCAAGGGTCCTGTGGAAATAAGAGGGGCCGTCCGTTCTAGAATGCTTCCTTGGTGGAGATGAGGCGTTTTGCTTCGGAAATTTTGATCTTTTTGTTTCCCCTCGGTGGGTTCATTGGGTTGTGGTGGTTTGGTTACATGGCGGCCCGATGTGGATTCTTTTTTTTTTTTTTTTATTTTTACCTTGATTTTTAAGCAATACAGTATTCTGGTTTTGAATTCGTATTTGGTGATTGTTTTACTTATCTTTGTTTATTTGGTATTTGTATTTGATAAGGGAGTGTGTAAGTGTGGCAAGGTGATTTTTC